TGACCCACGTGACAGGCCCAGCCTTATGTGCTGGCAACCCATGCAGTCATACAAGGTCCTGCACCCAGACCTGCGCTTCCTGTCTTCATCTTGAAATTCTTAATAAGTTTTGAACAAGGAACACCAGATTTTTATTTTGCACTAGGCCCCACACATTACGTAGCTAGCCCTGCATACATCCACAAAGCCAAAGCCCACACAGATTACAGTGAAAACACAGCCTGAAGTTGAACAGCCTGGGCTCCTTCCTGGCTCTCTGCCACTTACGAGTGATGAGGGATTCGTGGGGCAAGTTACCAAACCTCTCTCAACCTGCTCCCAGCTCTGTCTCAGTTTCACCGATTCCTCATCTATAAAGTGCAGGCTCCCTTTTCATGCTTCCAAGAGGGCCAAAAGAGAAATGCAGGGAAAGAGCTTTGTGCAGTGCCTAGCACTCCAAAAATGGTGGCTACTATGAGTGCTACAGTGATCACTGCTGAGACAGGAGATACAGATGGGAGTTGGGAATGTCAGTGGAACTGGGAAGAGCTGGAGGCTTAGTCTCGATACCAAAGAACTCATACTGGAGGTCCAGAGATCCAGATCCATAGAAACAAGGAGGCCCTAAGAGTGCAGGCCTCCCTTCACTATTAATAACTCTTTCCCTCCCTCTAATTTCCTAATCTTACCCCTCCTGCCTCCTCAGCGAGGGCCTGTGCTCTATCTCAGGCAATTTTCTTATCATGTCTTGAACATGAACATTGCTTGTCTTTGCTTCTGAAACTTTGCACAAAGCTTTTGCTCCTAGAATATCGTCCCTCACTCCTCCTTCCCAGCTCATGCCTAACACCTCCTCTGCAAGGTCACCTTTAGCTGGTGCCTTCTCTACCCCATCTCTCTTTGATTCTGGAGCAGCATTATATTGCAGTTGCTTGGGTCTTGCTTAGAGAGAGAGGATGCCATATCTCCATCTAGAAGGTAAATGCCTGAGGCCAGACACCCAAACCTTTTGAAATTCTGCCCACCACATCAGAATGCCTCTCTCCAAAGCATGAACTGTATTCAAGCCTACGTCTCCATGCTCAACTTCCATCTTCATCAAAGCTAATGGAACATACCTGCTCTTTCTCACCTTCTCAAAATGACAGAAGGTTACTACTCTGAGAAGAAGGTTGAAATTCTAAGAAATGGAGTTCCAGAGAACTGCAAGATAATCACTCCTCACAAATACTACTGTCCTCGGCAACATGGGTAAAGGAAACACCACAATGCAGTAAAAAAAATCCCTCAGAAAAACAGCCAGGACAGCTAGCATCTGAATTCCAGCTCCTGAGCAAGGAACTTCTCCAAATTCAGTTTTGCTGAGTTTGGTTCTGAGTTTTGAAGATAGTGCCTACTTACCCCAGACTGTGTATATGGCTGGCCCCTCCAAGATACCTGGGGCAGAGATTTTATTATTTTTCCACTTAGGAGTGAAGGAAGTGGAGCTGGTTCTAAGCAAAACTGTCAAGTTCCGGAAACTGTTCAGCAGTCCTCTTTCCAATTCTTTTAGCCCAGATCCCTTCTACCCTCTTCCATTATTCAGTGGGAGGAGAGGAGAAGGCCTCCCATCTCAAATATTTTTCTAATTTTTTTCATTTAAACATGAAATAATTTGAATAGTAGACTCTATTTTTACAGGAGTGAGGTGACTTTTAGTCAACTGCTTTTCCCAGGTCAATTGAACATTGAGCATTTAATCAGTAACAATGATGGGTGACCCATTTTACTCCTCATTCTAATAATTATCTCTGAGAATATTTTGATGGAGATCATGGGGAGCCTTTTAATCCCTGAAGTTCCCTTGTACCCACTCAAAACACTGTAAATAAACCTTACTTGATCATTTTGTTCTGCTATCTATAGCTATATAATAAACTACCTCCAAATTTAGCCGCCTAAAACAGAAACCAGTTTATTGTAAATTACAATTCTGTAGGTCAGGAATTTGGACAGGGCTCAGATGGATGATTCTTCTGCTTCACAAGGCACTGACCGGACTAACCCAGTCACATTCAGCTGGTGGCTCAACTAGGCTGGACAGTCCAGGATGGCTTTGCTTATATGTCTTCCACCTTGCCTAAAGTGGCAAGAGGGCTGAACTCATCTGGGTACTTCTCCCTTTTCATGTAGTCTCAGGGTCTGTTTCTCTAGTAGGGAGATCAAACTTCTTAGACAGCAGCTCAAGAGAGTTAAAAAAGAGCAAGGTGGGAGCTGCAAATCCTCTTAAAGACTAGGCCTAGAACTCAGACAATGCCACTTCTGCTGTATTCTACTGGACAAAGCAGTCAGAGGCCAGCCAAAATTCAGGAGAGGAGACATATATCCCACCTCTCAAGGGAGGCATGTCGAATAATTTATGGCCCTCTTTTAACCCACCACACAGGGTAACTTGATGGGGACTCAGAAGGAAAGATGTATGAAAGAAAAAGGAAGATGCCTGGGATAATGAAGAGTTTCTTGATGTGATGGTTAAACTTTCAGACTTGGCTGAGGTCCCTAAAGAAGGTATTAAACACCTCAGTCTCCCAGCTATCTCCCCTTTCTACATCCCAGATCTAGCTTGGCCTGGTCAGAACCCAGAAATTGTCCTCAGTGGTTAATCCGAAATCCAGCCCACTGTCTGGAACCCATTCTACCCAAACACCTAACCCTGTTCTGAGATCCTCTACTCCCCATCTTCAAACAACTTCCGTCTTCTCCTTTTGCCCAAAGGAATCCAAATCCTTCTCCTGTAAGCCTTACCATCACCCATGACTGGTTTCTCTAACCAATATGGTCACCTTCCATTTAAGGGGCACTTACTTTGTATCAGGGTCTGTGCTAAGTGCTTTATATGTGTTATTACATTTTCTCCTTGCCAGAAAGTATTACTCTTATTTTACAAAAGAGGAAACAGACCCAGAGAGATATGCAACACACCCAAGCTCAAGTGGTCCAATTCAAAAGTCCAGGCTTTAAGGATGTTGCTATACATCTTCTCATGTAATTATCTACTGTGATTTAAATGAACTACTCACATGCTTATGCCTGGGCCTTATATCCTAGGCTCCCTACAAAGAGTGTTCAGGGGCTGGAAGCCCCTCAAAATGCTGTCAAGGACTTCTTTAGATTGCAGGGGAAGGAAGGAAGGAACTCAGGGACCCTAAATCCTTAAAAGAGGGAATGCAAGAAATCGCTGTTGAAAACTTATGGTCAAGATTTTTGTCTTAATTTACGTCATGGTGTGTGGGTGGTGGTGAGGATAGATGTGTCCATGAGATCACAGAAATCTGCTTACAGAGAGATAAAAGAGAACTAATTCAGCAGGAAGAATGAAAACTGAACAGTTCATCTGGCAATAATAAAAGCACCGTAGTTACACCCGCTTAACTGTAAGTTAAGCTCTGACAACCTCGATTCTGTGGAATGCAGCAGCAAATCTGGAAGTGAAAAAGGCCTTTAAGCACCAAAAATAACTGACATGAATTGAACCAAAGCCAGGTCCTTAGGCCTACACAGGGAGCCTTAGTGGGTTACATTGGAGAAAATATTTAAGATTTTTGACCTCTGGCTTCCTAGCCCATGGCCCTTGAAGAGCAAGGTGGGGTGTGAGTGAAAGGCCTTCTAGAGAAGGAAGCATTTTGAGAGCAAAGGGACACCAAACAACCTCAAAGATTTCCTTTGGGAGCAAAAGACAATAGGACTTAGAAGTAGACAAGCATTGTGTTACATGTCACTTCATCTTAGAAAAAGTATCCTAACATTTCATTGGATGGTGTCTGGTGCTTTAGCGAGCCCTTTCCCACACAGTGAAACGGGCAGCCAAGGATGAAACAAATACTCAGAGAGGCTTAGTGACTTTTATGTGACTGTGCAGATTAGCGAGTGGCGAAGCTGGAACTAAACCCAGATTGCATGATGTCTAACACAAAATCTTTTCCTCTATACCATGATTTTGCCCTTTCCTGTATACCATCATGCCTCCTTTTTTCATTATGATGACCATGAGTCATCAAGAAAAGGTTAGTTTACGTCTAGTAAACTCTGCGGAAGAAAACAGGGAAGTGGATAGTACATTTTTTTAATAAGTTTTCATTAAAAATTATAAAAATAGCTCAGCATTCAGGATAAAGTTCAACTTTCTGTTCTCAGCTACATTATAAATTATAGTCCTTTACCTTTTATACCTAATTTGCCATACAGCACAATAATGTTGATATGCAACATCTTCAAAATATGCCTTGTGAATTTTTTACTATCAGTCATTCCTCTCTCTCTCTATTCTACTGCCTTGATTCTGTTCCCTCCTCTCTCTCCTAAATGCTCATAAAATTTCTGGTTGGAATCCTGCCTCCAATTTTGATCCCTTAAATTTATCTTCCATTCACATAATTCTGATCAAGCTAGTGGGGAAAAAGTCACAGCTCTTTAGCAGCAACCGAGGTCTCACTCCATTATCCAACTCCTGCCAACCTCCACAGCCTCGTGTCTTGCCACTCTCAGCTCCACACTTGAGTTTCCTACAGCACCGAAAGGTTACAAAGGCTTGTAACTAAGTTTCTCTCCATATCTGGTATTCTCTGCTCTTGCTATTATCCTCTCCACCTGAAATGCCCTTTGTCCAGTCCTTCATTTGATTAATTCCTGCACATCTTTAAAGATCCAAGCTTAATTGTCATCTAGACGCCTCTTCTTGGTGTCCCTGCAACACCACAATGTCTCTATCCTTGCTTGTATCAATTAGGATGCTTGTGGTTGTAACAGAACTCCCACACCTAAAGCAACTGAAACAATAGTGAGTTATTGTCTCTTCACAAGAAGTCTGAAAGTAGATGATTCCAGGGTTGCCTTCGTGATATCAGGGTTCTAAGCTTCTGTACAATTCTCTTGGCCCTTCTGCAGGATGGCTACAGCCATTCCAAACTCGTGACAACATTTAAAACCAGGAAAGGTGTATTCGCTTGTTAAAGCTGCCATATCAAAGTACCATAGAGTGGATGACTTAAGCAACAGAAATTTTATTTTCTCACAGTTCTGGAGGTTAGAAGTCCGAGATCAAAGTGTTGGCAGGATTGGCTCCTTCAGACGTCTCTTTCCTTGGCTTCTAGATAGCCTCTTCTTGCTGTGTCCTCACATGTCTTCCTTCTGTTGAATGTCCATGTTCTAATGCCCTCTTCCTACAAGAACACCAGTCATACTGGATTAGGTTCCACCCTAATGGCCTTATTTTAACCTAATTACCTCTTTAAAGACCGTATCTCCAAATACAGTCACATTCTGAGGTCCCGGGAGTTAGGACTTGAATAAATGAATTCTAAGAGAACATGATTCAGCTCATAACAGGAGACTCAGGATTAGGAGTTCCTCTTTGTTTTCAGGTGAAAAATCTTTCCTAAAATCCTTCCAGTAGACTGACCAGAATTTGGTAACTTGCCCTCTTCCTGGTTACAAGGAAAGTTAGAAAAGCATTCTCACTTTTATAATGGGAAGAGGGCTCTGGAAGCCAGAAAGGGCTGCGAATAACTACTGGGTGGGTTACTAAACCATTGAACTCTGCTTCCACATTGGGTAATAGTTATCTGCTTATGTGTCTACCTTTCCCGTTAGCTCTTTGAAGCAGAGACCAGTGTTTCAATCATCTGTATACCCCCAGCAAAGCACTGTGCCTGGCTCATAGTAGCTTCTCAACCAATATCTGTTGAAGGAATGCACAAATAGAATTTAATGAACTAGATGAACCTGTTTGTGTTATATTTGATTACATTAAACTTGGTTCACGTTTACTCTGTTCATATGGTTTGGCTTGCATAACATATGAACACCTTTAATATTTAACTTCATTTAAAACTATCATTCACACCTTTAAGAGATTGCAGGGAATATTGCTAATAGAACTGCTATTACAATAAGAGGAGACCAAATTCTGTAAGCTTTGTCTTCCCAAAATCTGACATACTGAATGGCACACAGTAGGTTCTGTATGAATTTTTGTGGAATAAATAAATAATGGATGAATTAATCATTAAAATGTTTTTAAATGCTTTGAAAAATATTATTATACAAATCTAAGGGGTTATTGCATTTTCTAGAAAAACATCTTTCAGAACTGGGCATCCCTTCTGTTCTGCTGATACTTGCAAAGGTGGTGTGTCAGCAAGTATTTATATCACCAAGCCATTTAT